CTGCTCGGGGAGAGGCTGCTGCGGAAATGCGAGGGCCGTTTGCTCTTCAAGATTGGGACGCTGCTGCCAGGATATGAATTTAGGACCTTTTGCCCCCAAAAAACCCCAAAACCCAAGGCAAAGCTGTGCCCCGTCCCCGCCCTGCAGCGGGGCGATGCGGCCCCAGCCCCATGGGACTGCCAGGCTGGGGACCCCGTTACGCTGCTGATGGGAGGTGGAAAAGGGTTGGAAATGACAAGCAAGAACTTAAGGCAAAGCTGAGAACGGCCCCAGTAGATGTGAGCAAAGGTCCGTCCCACCCGCTGCCCACCTCTGGCAGCTGTCGCTGGGGAATGCGCAGGGAAGCACCAGGAAAACGAGGCAGATGCTTCCCCAGGGACCTTTCTCCAGCTTTGTCACTTCTGGGGACATCCACCTGCAGCTTAGGGAGCTGCTGCAAGAGAAATCACATTCAAACCACTGTGCCTGACAGCCCTGTTGGAGAAAACGCCTGAAAAGTGGGCGCTGATGCTCCCTGCGTGTTTTGCTTTCCAGGGCCACCTGTGCAGGTGAAGTCCCCGTTGAGTGGTGGCCGCGTCCTGCAGCCACCCCTGAGGGTGTCCCCTCTGTGTCCCACTGCAGAGCACCACTGAGACACCCGGGTTTCTGTGCCCGGCCCAAAACACCGTTGCCAGCAACACGCGTCCGTCTAGCAAAGGCAAGAAGACATGCAACTTACTGTCCAGGTGGCTGACTTGGCGGTGCTGGATTGCTGGAAGGTCACCTCAAAGTGGTGGGGGCCGGGGTAGTCAGTGTTGGAGGGGATGACAGGAGCTGGGGACATGGCGTCGAAGGTAGAGCTGGGCTGCGAGTAGGGAGAATGCGTTGGGACATTGGAGGTGTGCTCGGAGCTGTAGGGGCTGGTGGAGGCTGCTCTGCTGCCGATGCTCTGATCCATGCTGTTGTTCAGCAAATTGAACTGGGACTGGAGGAAGGGAAAAGGGGAGGAGGGAAAAAAGAAAACACCAGCCAGTGAAGAGACATGGAAACCTCAGCCACACTTCTCCAGGGCTCCAGGTGTCCTGTTACAGCCTCCTTAAAGGGCCAGCGTGCGGGAGAGCCAGCCGAGAGAGCTGGTGCGGGTCACCTGGGTTTTTGAGCAGGTCACCACTTGTGTGAGGGATAATCCCAATACGCTTAAACCAGCCCCTTCTACCTGCCCCGTCCACGCTGGAGGCAGCGAGGTGCTGAGATCCCTGGGCTCCGAGCACACCTGGGCTGCGCGAAGCCACCCTTGTCCGGGCAGGGCTTTCCTGGGGTTTGCTCAGGTGCGGGAGATGTCCCAGTGCGGGGCGGGAGTGACAGCCCTGTCCCGCACCCGGGGCTCTGCTGGGCGGCTTCCAGAGCCTGGGGGCTGCGGGAGGCACCAGTGGAGGCCCCCGCAGCCCCTGCCCCGCAGCCCCTGCCATCCCTGCCAGTGCCACAGCCTGAGCCCGCTGCAGCCTGTGCTCCGCACCTCTCCCGCACGCATCCCCCTGCCGCGAATGCACACACGCACACACACACACACACGGCACTCCTGGAAGTGCTTCTCGGTGAAGAGCAGCTCTGAATGGTGGTTTGTGGAATTCCTCTCCCAGCCGGGGTGTTTGCTGCCGGCGGCTCGCGCTGGTGCAGGGCTAATTTGGGGGAAACCTCAAACCTGCAGAGCACGGAGCCGGGATGCAGGGCGCGGCAGCAAGGTCACAGAGCAACCCTGCCTCCTTCTGCATGTGCTGCCTCTTATTCCAGACACTCTGGACCAAATCCTGACTTTTTACAATATTTTTTTAAAAAGTTATTATTTCTTTTCTGAACAATTACTGCCATGTACTTCCAGCAAGGGCGGGCAGCTCTTCTCCCTGCAGGCACAGCCTGAGCACAGCTGCATTCCCAAAAGCCACATGCCTGAAGCAGCCAAAATCTTCCCTTTGAGAACAATTTTTTATATGGAAGAGCTATGATGATTATTAAAATTAATGTATTGGTTACATATAATAATTAATATTAAATATCTATCCCAATGATAACTGTTTCTTAAAGCAAGTGGGGCATTTCTTCCCCAGAAATCCACAATTCCCACATTGCTGGGGGTTGCTCTCCCGGCACTTGCTGTTGCCAGTCCCAGAGGTGCCTCCTGGGCTCCTCCTGTGGCCACTCCACAGTGGCTGTCACTGCACCCTGTGTCACCCCAGCCCCTGCAGCGCCTGCCCGGAGGAGGAAGGGGGCTGCCCACCTGTGTTCCCCCCATTCCTCAGCTCCTGCCCCTCTATGGGGGCTTCAGTCCTTCCGTGGGGGCTCCAGTCCCTGGCAGGGACTGTCTCTCTGGCCACCAGTACCAGCTGGGGAACTGGGAGCTGCTGGTAGGTGTGTGTCCCTGTCCTGCCACCCCGCAGGCTCAGCCCTCTGCCTGCTCCTCCTGCGAGGCTCACGGCTCAGGAATCAAGAGACGTGTTTTAACTTGGGATCCCAACCTCACCCAAACTTCTGCGATGTATAATGGTTTAAAGGCAACCAGCCTTCTCCGGGAAAGTTCTCCCGTTGTCTGCATCTCTCACAAGGTCGTTGGAGCCTGTGACTAACTGGAGGAATGCTGAACAAGACCTGGCTTGCTTGTACACATGCAGCCATTTTCTCCCCTAAAATATGTATGTAAACCCCTCTATTGCTTCTCACCACTCTATAAATAGCCCTGCCAAAGACAAACCACCCCCAGTGAAGATTTCCACAATCCCAGGCTTCACCTGGAGAAAAAGTTATGAGAAACTTCACCAAAAAGGGCATTAAAAATGTGTGTGGGAAGCCCGTGCCCATCCAGCTGGGAATGTGCTGGGCTGTAGGCAGCTGCTGGTGGGGACCGTGGGGCAGGGCAGCCTCGGTGGCAGGTGACAAGTACAAGTCACCCTTGAGAAGCAAAGCTCAGGCATCTGACAGGAGTTGAGCAGCAAGAGGAAAGGGGACTGCTGCTTGTCAGGGCTGGTCTGCAGCCCAGATGGTGCAGGAACACCAGGATGGAGCTGCTCACGTCCTGGCCCAGCCACATGCCTGGTTCTGGGATGAATGGGGAGGAAAGGCTCCACACTCTCCCTGAGCAAACAAGGTGACTGCAGCTCTACCTGGCACATGTTGTGTGTTCCCAGGAAAAGCAGGCTGTGTCCAGGCTGCCCAGCTCAGGCCAGAATGGGAAATAGCTAGGAAGCTGGAGGTACCTGCTGCCCAGGGGCTGGAGGGCAGGCTAGGGGTGAGGTGGCCCTTGGAAGTGGCTGGAAAAAAACCAACTCCACAAAGTCATCCAAGCATGATTTTGTGAGCTGGTGCTCAGAGCCAGGACTGCAGCAGCCAAAGCCTGTGGCTGCAAAGCTGATTGGGCAGGTAACTGGGGAGCCACTCATTGAGCCCAGCATCCCAACCTCCACCTGGGAAAGAGCCTTCCCTCTGGGAAAAACACTTCATTCCTGAAGGAGACACGAGACCCAGAGTGTCAGCAGGATCTCCTGTCAGCACAAAGCAACAGGCAGTGCCCTGACTACTGCAGCTTTGGAAATCTGCTGCCAGAGTCAGGTGCAGAGGAAAAAAGACTCACTTGTTCTTCAAAATCAACTAAATTGTGTAAACATTCCCTTAAAAGACAAATCCAAGGCATGATTGTTTGTGTGTGGATGTGTGTGTCAACAAACCCAACACGGCATGTGTTAAACATACACACACACACACACAAGTTTACCCACACACACCCACAAACACTCCCATGGCTGCAGCCACCACCTCCCAGGCAGCAGCGTCGCAGTGCAGAGCGAACCTGGTACCCGCCTGGTTCCCACCAACACGGGTAGGACAAGACAAGAGGAACGAAGGGATTTCTGGCGTGGGGGTGCAGCACCACACCTTTCCATCTCTAGCTGCCTCTGTGCCTAGAGCTAACTTTTCAGGATGCCTGACACGAAACCCTTTGGACTGAGAAAGCAACCTCAGAGCTGGGGGTGAGGGCTGAGGCTGAAACCCGTGAAGAAGAAGGAGCCAGGAGCACCTACCGTGGGGTACGGCTGCATCGGGTCGCTGATGTACAGCATTTTAGTCGCCTCGAGGTCCGCAGAGCTCTGGGAAGCGTCCTGCCCCCGGAGGCATGGGGCCGGGCTGGCAGTGGGCGAGGGGCAGGATTGCCGGAGGGAGGCGGGAGAGTGCAGAGCGAACCTGGTACCCGCCTGGTTCCCACCAACACGGGTAGGACAAGACAAGAGGAACGAAGGGATTTCTGGCGTGGGGGTGCAGCACCACACCTTTCCATCTCTAGCTGCCTCTGTGCCTAGAGCTAACTTTTCAGGATGCCTGACACGAAACCCTTTGGACTGAGAAAGCAACCTCAGAGCTGGGGGTGAGGGCTGAGGCTGAAACCCGTGAAGAAGAAGGAGCCAGGAGCACCTACCGTGGGGTACGGCTGCATCGGGGCGCTGATGTACAGCATTTTAGTCGCCTCGAGGTCCGCAGAGCTCTGGGAAGCGTCCTGCCCCCGGAGGCATGGGGCCGGGCTGGCAGTGGGCGAGGGGCAGGAATGCCGGAGGGATGCGGGAGCAGGGCCGGGCGGGCAGCGCCAGGGATGCTGCGCTGGCCACCCCTGTGCCTCCCTCTGTTGGCTTTTTTGCTTTTTTCATCTCCCTTAGTTCTGTCAACTAGCTGCATCCAACAACAAAACGGGGCCCACCCCTTTCTGTCCCTCATGACTATTCATTAATGCACAGGGCAGGTTCCAGCTTGCCCAGTGATGGACTGGGCGATACCAACCATTCCCACCGCAGGGATGTGGGGGTCCAGCTCCATCATCAAACCCAGCCAGATGCCACACCACAATGCTCCTTGCAGCTGCTGTGGGCTGGAGACCCATTGGGCCAGCACCCTCTGCCAGCAGAGCAGCCTGCCTGCACCTGTGCTGAGCAGGGGATGCAGTGACCTGGAGGCAGCTCCATGTCTCTGATACCCAGAGTTATCCCTCTCCAGATGGATAGATAGAGACAGATTACTAGACAAATATAGAGAGATATCTAGATGGATAGCTATGGGTAGATAGATGGGCAGAGATGTCTAGAGTGACCAGGCAGATTTCTTTCCCGCTTGAGGCCGAGGGGTGAGCAGTGTTTCCTACAGAGCCCAGCATGGCAGGCTGGAGCAGATCTGCAGCTCAGAGAGTGTCGTGGTGGAATGGAACCAGTGTGCACCCCCCACCCCCCAGCACTGGTGTGCACACACACACAGCAGCGCTGTGCACACAGCCTGAAGCTCCGCACAGACTACCAGCCCTGGAGTTGTCCTCTCTAAGCCAAAAGGGTCGCTGAGGAATTGCTCACATCTTTAATCACAGCGGCTCCTCCCACAGGACCCTGAAACATGTTTTTAGGAGCAGTGCAGCACCGGTGCGATGGCAGAGGGAGCGCCAGGAGCCACCGGAGGGCAGGACACGGAGAGGTGACCTGCTCAGAGCCGGTAGGCACTAAGAGGCAGCAGGCACTAAGAGGCAGCAGGCACTAAGAGGCAGCAGGCACGAACAGGGAGCGGGCTGAGCAGCTGCCCAGGAGCGGG